GGGTTCAACAGAACCTGGTTGATACATGTAGTATTACTCGGTTTTTGGAAAACAATTTCATGTAATGAATTTAAAGGTTGAATGGCACGGCATGACTGAGGTTGATGCATTAATACATAATACATTCATTACAGCAAACTGTGGAGGCTTTCAGTAACCAATGTGTTAACAAATCTATAAACTGGCATGCAGCCCAGTCACAGAATCTCAAACATTGAATACAGGTTTGTGCCTACCGGTTCTTTGTTTTGTGTACAAAATTCAGTATAAATAATCAACAACTGCGATCATCTGCCATCACTCATCGACAGGTAAAAATTAACTTCTACAATTTTATCAGTCATAATATAAATCCATTGTGGTAAGAATTGACTTGTTGAAGGCTGAATGGTTTTGAATGTATCATTACTCACTATTGCTTTCTTTGCACTGTCTTCAATGTCTCTATGTAAATCTATCCATTCCAGTTGATATCTACAAGATAAAAGTGACAAGCTCAGCTCTGTTAGTGCAACTTTTAATATCTACTTTCCCAAAATCTATAATCATCATATGGAAGAGAACATTGTACTTCGATTCAGGTTACCCATGTATGTGTTTAAAGAACATTTAGAAACCCAACACAGCAACAGCTCATTTGACATACCATTAGTGCTTTTTAATTGTTTATGGGTTTATATATATTATGGGTTTATATAGGTATATTAATTCAAAATGATTTGAGCATTGTCCAATCAGTATATAAGCCTCAAGCAAAAAGGGGAAAAAACAGAGTGTCCCACTAACGAATGACAACATCTCATTCGATTATAAGAGTATTCCAAAATGAGTGTATGTATAACATTTTACAGAAATGTAAAAATATAACACAAGCAGGGAAAAACATCTCATGGGTATGTTTACGAAACAATATGTACTAACTTGTTAAGTAACTCAGCACCTGCATCCAGTGGAGGTTTAGCGATGAATTCAGGACTGAAAAGAAAAACATGCAATCACTATACAATATTATATGTATTACATCCATAAATTCACGTGAAACAGACCAATAAGAAAACCTTACAAAAAAATACCCCTTGTTCCCAAAAAATTTAAAATGCTCATGCATGACCCTCAGCCAACCAGATACCCAATTATTGGCAATGCTGACAGCATTACCCTGTTTCCTATAATCTTAAGCCATTGGCCAAGAATATAAATTGTCATGAATTGTCGCGAATCCTTGCAAAAAACAAAATGTAAGAATTCCTCATTTTTTACAACTCGTAGACTTTTTCAATTTTATGTCATCTGAATCTGAGTTGGATGCATTTTGTTGTCATAGTTACCTTATACCACAGTCCCTCTATCCCTCTATGATCGAGGGACTGTGCTTATACATTGTGTAGGTAAATGTGCACTTATATAGTGCTAGTATACTGGGAACAGTTTGAATGCTGTTGATGTTTTTGTCATTCTCATTTGTAAGTGTAAAATTGCATGACTTAACATACTAGTATATTGTCACAGAATCTGTACGTGGTATGTTGTAATCCCATTTATTATTTATATCATCAATTGGCTGTTTACTACATTACATACCTGCCAACTGGTACTTCTGATCGCCTACCTGTCTTGCCAACTTCTTTAGCTTTTGTTGTTAGATTCTTCAAACTTAAGAAAACACATTTAAATATAATTGTAATGTTAATATCAACATATTGTAGAAGGGGCAGTGCAACCAGACGTTTAGAAACAAAATAATATTTTCGAAATGCTCCACCACACATGCACGACAAACCGCTAAACTAGATGGGGCAAGTAACTGACACGGATAAACGAATCTTGAGTTTGTCAGAGTGTAATAGCGAGTGTTGCTTTATAAGCACTCAAAGAGTCCGACAAAGTCCCGGTCACAAAGTGTAAACGGACAGTCACTCACCCTGTTGTTAAATCATGCTGCACATTTTGTAGACGTTCTTTGAAATTATCAAACATTCTGATATTGATGTTGATTCTGTTAGTTGTTGTGCAGCATTGTCTAGTGGTAGGACTTTAGCAGTACAACATGAAACGCAGAAGCAGAAAACATAAATATGGCTTCCTTCTCACTGCGTTGACTATTTCCGGGGTTTCCAAAAATCATCAACGAGGGCGCTGTTTGACGAGGAACTCGGGGGGGCCTCACTCGATATGGGGGGGGGGTCCAATTCTGTCTGACCCAGAGTTTCTAATAGTCGAGCTTTAAAGTGATGGTTGAAACTCTGGAGTAGGTAGGTCGAAACAATGTGTAAATTATAGTGTTTTTTTGCTTTTTACCTAGTTTTCTTAAGATTTTTTGTTTAAAATATAGTTTTTCTTCAGTCTTCCTGTAAAATTATTTAATCTTTCCAGAAGCAGAAAACATAAATATGACTTCCTTCTCACTGCATTTAACTATTTCTGGGGTTTTCAAAAATCGTTGACGAGAGCCCTGTTTGATGAGGTACTAGGCGGCCTCATTTGATATGGGGGGGGGGGCGAGTTTTTCTAATTCTGTCAAATGTAACTCTTCCCAGATTTCCCAAATAGTCAACCCCTAATTATAAAGATAGAGGAAAGCTTAACAAGTTCAAACAGTAATTCCCTGTTGCAGAATTTTGAATTTGCAAGGTATAACGTTTTAGACCACTAACTGCATACTGGATGAACACATGATGAACAGACACGAAACCTTGCGATAAGATGAAGTATAACGGTGAATTGTACTGCAAGTAACCCTGGTCATAATTTCAATCAACAGTTTGTTGCAGAAAGATGGTGTAAACAAGACGATATGTACTCATTTTGACTACATTGGTAATGTAATCTGGAACACCCCTATGATTTCACCTTCTTCACAGCTTTAAAAAAATGGCGTGAACTTATTCTGAAGATGTAGATTACTCAAAAATTTCAGAAGCAAATGTCACTTGAGGTTGCTGTGAGTATAAGCAAAATATTTTCATCACAGAATGCGCTGTCAAATTTGCATGTGCTCGACATACACCCTCTTGTGCAAAGGTTAAATGTTATAACTACCGGTACATACATATTACATTTTGTAATTTTCTAATGACTCGAGATATTGTAATTTCTTGAATGCAGGAGTTGAAACTTGAACTTAGATTTATCTCATACATTTTTTTTTACACATGCATTTCGAGCAAACATTTTTTCCATTAATTAGACACATTTGTGCAGTGTACGTTTCTGCATTTAAGGAGGGTTATGAACAGTTTTCAATTTCTCATCTTTAGTTTAGATTTGTCTACCTGTACTTGCCAACTTTCTAGACCTATAAAATGTATTTTGTCATTAAAAGAAAAACACGACTGATAAATAATTTACATTTGGAGGTCTTTGTGTTGAAGTTTTTGCCCATTACCTCCGAGTCATTCCTTTATTATGGGCGATTCAGGCATGAAAAAATTGATCTATTTAATTATTTGGAAAAGCTTACTTGTTGACAGAGAATCAGAAATATAATTTGAGCAATTAATTTTTTTTTACTTTAGGTCCCCAGCTTCCAATTTGAATTCCAACTTGAAATAAATACATGTCAATATCGCGAAACTAGACAATTTGATTGTAATCAGTCAAGGAATGTATACGTATGCGAAACTGTATTCTTTAAAATGCAATGGCCTCCAGTAGTCATTTTGAATTAGAATGTGACAATGATGTACGTCTCGGTCTGGTGTGTACCAAGTTTGAAATACATTTGCCATTGGCCTAAATTCAGTTCTGGAATGCCAGAAACATTTGATGCAATTATAACATTAAAATGTCTACCACTTGATCATCTTAAATCACAAGACAAATAAATGTGGATATGTACGTATGCGACATGTATGAAGAGAGTGTATGAGATACGTTTGAACATGATGCAGACAGACTAGCAGATGTGAAATTATAATACCTTGATTTCAGACTAAATATGCATATGTAAAACAGGCAAGGTCAAATTCACTAAAATTTGGTGACTGATTCACAAGATCTCAGTTTAACTAATGCATCTATATGTAAAGAAAACATGTCATAATGATTTTCATCTTTCTTTATTATGTATTTATCAACTCTTCTACAAAATCAAGAATTGTCATCAATGAGACCAGTTAGACATTTCAAACATTACAAAATTACGAGAAAAACAAAATTAAGAAGAGAGAAAAGAAATTTGGTTCACACGAAACGTCTATTACGGTGTACAAACATTGTATACCTCTGCCCACCAGTCACACCAAACTGTATTAACCCTTACCTAGACAAGTCAAGGTAAAAAACAACCCAGGCTGGCAGGATAAACTGTAATACAGATAGGTAATCATCAAAGTACCAAATGTCACATGATAATTGTAGATAAAATACCCCTTTGTTTATTATGTAATTTAATATTAGTCGTATGATCAGTAGTGACTATACTATTTGCTCCTTTTCTCCAGTTTTCCTACGGTCCCAAATCTCTGCAGTTTTTACAGTTCCCAAAACCTGGCTCTAACAAGCATAATTTACAAGATAAATAGCACAACAAAATGATTTGCAAAAATGTGCCTATGTATGTTATTATAAACATACTTTATGAATTAAAAAAAAAATTCCATGATATTTCACTTAAAAAAAATGAAAAGGAAAAAAAAATAAAATTGTAATGAGATTAAAAATGATAATAAATTTGAATAATAAAACAGGGTAGTAAATACTCATTAAGGAGGCATGTTACTCAACATTACTACTTATCATCAAAAGCATTTTATAAATAATTGCTTTAGTGTACCTCAAATGTAATTATTTTTTGTTTTTAGGAAAAATGAGTAATAGTACTAGGAGGCAAAACTAACCACAATGACAAGAAATTATTTTAATAATTTAAAACAAAATATTTACCCTGTAAGACACACTATACGATTTGTACACCCCATGTCACAGGAGTAGTAATTTTCTAGATATAGGAAATCCCAAACTTATCTTTTTCATGAAAAAGGGAACAGCGACACAAATTACACTGACTTCTACCTTGTATCATGACATCACTCAAATATAAAGTAAATGTTTCACATTGAAGTAACGTTTCTCAATATGTATACTTAATAGTTAATGCTGGAAGAAATAGATTGTTCAGAGAACAATTGTGGCATTAAAAATAAAATCTACGGTAATCATCAAACCGCCATGACAACGTCAGCTGCCTCAACAAGTGCTTGGGATTCTTTATATTTAATGAATCTCATGAGATTAGTCCTGGCATTCAAAATGGTTGGAAGACGATCCCCGAGAAGTGGTTTACTCTGTCTTATCTGAAATTAAACAATAGAAATATTATTGCAATATATCCTGAACATGTAATTTTCTAAGTAAAATGGATGCTGGGTAGGCCACCTACGATTGAAATAAATTGCATATTGAAGTATACAAATCAGTGCTTTGATAAACATTATTACCTTTGTCTTCAATGATGGAACCATTTGTTTTAATTTGTTTACCAAACTAATCTGCACAGCTACAGTGTCAGCTGATTTGCCATCACCAAATGTATCAAATACTGCATCTAATGCCTCGGCAATGACCCATAACACTGCGTCTTTAGATGCTACATCCAATAAATGGTTACCAATCACCTTTCAACAGGGAACAAAGTTTTTGTTATAAAAACAAAAATACTAGAACGTATAAATGATTGAAACTGTTACTGATACAGGTGGGTCTTGGTTCAAAATCATGTTCATTACCAAAATTCATAGGTCAGTTTGGGATCATGTTCAGTTTTTATCATATTATTATCAATTTGAATATTAACGCAGAAATAACTCTAACACACCAATAAAATAATCTAAAATAACAAAGATGAACTCACAGTAAGTAGAACTTCAGTGTCTGGTTGCTGTGACAACAAATTACCAATACTTCCCAGCATTCCCACTACATTTGCTCTGACATTACCACATGTAGATGTATGGGATAACTCACAAAGTCTGATGAGATGCGAGTCACACAAATCCTATCAATAGTCAAGACATTCAATAAGTTAATAAACTCGTGAACAATTTAAGGAGGTTTGAGCCAAATTTGAGATTATATGTCATGTTTGTAATACTTTTATTTTTATTGGTTCATGAGATCAGGACACCGAAAATTTTTCAAGATACAAGAGTCTGAAGTTTCATGAAAATTAGTATTTTTGTTGGTTCCAAGATTATTTCTTCATATCTCAAAAATTCATGATCTGTGACATGGAATGAAAGCATGTATCATTAGTCGTGTATTATATGTATTATTATTATTTTCCATTATATAGAGTAGGAGGACATTTCCTATAATTCATTACATATATGTTCAGTTCCAAGCTCAGTAGTGAAAATGAATAATTTAAAACATAACAAATTTACCTCTGGAAGCTGATTATTGGCGGCCATTTTCTGTAAAAGTGATCTCATAGCACTAGTGAAAGCTTCTACATATTCATTGGAAGTTGGACCTAAAATAGGAATCAATATACAACAATGGTTAAATTTGGGGGCAGGTATTGGCTAGTTTTTGCGGCAACAACAATTTTTAAGCACTGGTATCAACTCATGTGAGGGATGT